TGTATGGTTATAGCAAACCCATATTGTACAGCATGACTTAGAAGGCAAACACAATCCATATAGCAATACCAGTAAGACACATCAATGATCACCAGCAACCCAAAGCCGCGTTCGCCTCTCAGGCCCCATTCAGAACACATGGCCTGAGCAGTGAGAAGCATGGGTGCATGTGCAATTGGGTTGGATTGATTGGCCGGAGGTTACGAAACCTGGGCATGAGCAGCAACACGCAGCATATGCAGAAATGGATGCAAGCACCCCACGAGATGCGCAAACAAAGGCATGTGTGCACATGCATACACACACACATGCATACACGCACACATGCATACACGCACACATGCATACACGCACACATGCATACAGGCACACATGCATACACGCACACATGCATACACGCACACATGCATACACGCACACATGCATACACGCACACATGCATACACGCACACATGCATACACGCACACATGCATACACGCCCACATGCATACACGCCCACATGCATACACGCCCACATGCATACACGCACACATGCATACACGCACACATGCATACACGCACACATGCATACACGCACACATGCATACACGCACACATGCATACACGCACACATGCATACACGCACACATGCATACACGCACACATGCATACACGCACACATGCATACACGCCCACATGCATACACGCCCACATGCATACACGCACACATGCATACATGCACACATGCATACACGCACACATGCATACACGCACACATGCATACACGCACACATGCATACACGCCCACATGCATACACGCCCACATGCATACACGCACACATGCATACACGCACACATGCATACACGCCCACATGCATACACGCACACATGCATACACGCACACATGCATACACGCACACATGCATACACGCACACATGCATACACGCACACATGCATACACGCACACATGCATACACGCACACATGCATACACGCACACATGCATACACGCCCACATGCATACACGCCCACATGCATACACGCCCACATGCATACACGCCCACATGCATACACGCACACATGCATACACGCACACATGCATACACGCACACATGCATACACGCCCACATGCATACACGCCCACATGCATACACGCACACATGCATACACGCCCACATGCATACACGCCACACATGCATACACGCACACATGCATACACGCACACATGCATACACGCACACATGCATACACGCACACATGCATACACGCACACATGCATACACGCACACATGCATACACGCCCACATGCATACACGCACACATGCATACACGCACACATGCATACACGCACACATGCATACACGCACACATGCATACACGCACACATGCATACACGCACACATGCATACACGCACGCATGCATACACGCACACATGCATACACGCACACATGCATACACGCACACATGCATACACGCACACATGCATACACACACACATGCATACACACACACATGCAGCACACACGCCCACACGCCCACATGCACACATGCACACATGCATACATGCCCACATGCCCACATGCCCACATGCCCACATGCCCACACGCATACATGCACACATGCGCACACGGCCACATACAGGAGCACATGCAAACGCACCTGGTGGCAGTCGCAAGAACGCCACACTCGCTCGCACCGATTAGACTGCAGCCTAGATCTGCACCCCTCCGATCTGCACCTTCCGCTCTGCACCCTCCGATCTGCAATTTCCAATCCGGACCTTCCGTTTTGCATCTTCCGTTCTGCACCCTCCAATTTGCACTCTCCGATTTGCACCGTCCAATCTGCACCGTCCGATCTGCACTGACCAGCCTTCCACTATCAGGGCCACCGTGAGGTGCGTCTCATCGCCCCGCCAACATCCTCCAATGTGCCTTCAGCAAGGCACTCTCTAAAACTCGATTCTCTCGCTTCTCCATTCTCTCCACATCCCCTTCCCCCCCACACCCAATTGCTACCCTCACCCCACACCCCCCCCCCCTCCCCTCACCCCGCTGCTCCCCTCTCCGCACCGCCCATTCGCACCACACAGCTCGCCACACTTGCCCACAATCATTCATACCAAAGGATCCATTCATTTACCGCTTGCCCCAACCATGGCCATCACCCTCCTGGCCCCATCCGGTCATTTAAAAAAATCCCACGCCTCCCCCACCACCTCAACCACCCCGGAACACCCGCCACAGCCCAAACCATCGTCACCATCGCCCCCGAGCAACCTTATTCCAGTTTCATAGTCTTTGGAACACCTTCAATCAGTCAATCAAGTGGCCTTCGACTTGAAATAAATACCGCCTCGCTCGACGGCCATCGCCACTGAGATCCTTAGCGGCCAGGTCTAGGAGCAGGCATGCTAAGCTTCTGAGCGTGACCCTGTCAATCTTGAACTCAACGGTCACGCGCCGAGCCTGAAACTTTGATAGTCACTCGGTATGCGCCCATTCGCACCTGACTGCTCGCCCCAGTCATCGCCACAATCCCCTTGCCTCTACACCCACATACTCCCCACAGCCACGTGCTCCCCACAGCCACGTGCTCCCCACAGCCACATGCTCCCCACAGCCACGTGCTCCCCACAGCCACGTGCTCCCCACAGCCACGTGCTCTCCACACACATGTGCTCTCCACACCCACATGCTCCCCACAACACCAATCGCAACATTGCATGCGCCCATTTACACGACACTGCTCGCCGCCCCAGCAATCTGCGACTCAATTTTCGACTCGACTCTAGCAAGAATCGACTCAGCGCCTGAACCCGCGGCTGTCACTCCGCACCATCAGTGGCAGGCCGCGGAACGAAATTATGCACGCCCCTCCAACCGCCACCACACCGAGGGGAATTTTCAGTCGACTCAAACATCAGCGGCAGGGCGAGGCACGAACATGATGATACACGCTCCCCCTACCGCCACCGCCGCTCCCACCAAGTCCCACACGTCCGGAGCCGTCCGATCGACGGCCCAGCCCCACAGCAGCGCGAGCAGGATGAAGATCCCACCGTACGCTGCGTACGTGCGCGCGAAGGAAGCATCCTGGAACGTGGCGACTATTCCGTAACCGAAGAGGATCGCGGCGCCGAGGAAGCACCAGGCCCAATGCCAGCCGTTGATTCGCCACTGCCACACGAACCAGCCGCCGGAGATCTCGAGGATCCCCGCCGCGACGAAGAGTGCGAGCGACTTGAGGACGTCGAGCGGCGCGTACTTCATGCCGCGATGCCGAATCTGAGTGCGTGCGTGCGTGCGTGCTGGATCGGACTCGAACCAAGTGCGGGTTAGGTCAGGACGATGCCGAATGGGACGGCGTGCTGTGAGTCGACTCAAAAAGCGACTTGAGGGAGTCGAGCGGCGCGTACTTCAAGCCGCAATGCCGCCGCTGCGTGCGTATTAGGACACAATAGACAACGCGGGTTAGGTCAGGGCGATGCCAAATGGGACATTGTCACGCCATACTATATATTACTCGTACGTGCCATTTTTTTATGCGAGACGCGCAACGGAAATAGTATTCCTAAGTATTTATTCTTTGACAGATAACGAGTAGGATTGACTGGCTTGGCCGATCCATGCCTAGTTCCTTTGCACCCCTACCAACCGCTTGCAACCGCGCTGCAAGCCGATCCCGAGAGACCTTGCACCCGAAACTTGGGCTACCTTCCTGGCCGAGTCACGAATATTTGTGCTGGGGTTTCTAGAAGTGAACTAGATTCCAGCACGACCGATAGAAGTTCGTACCAAAAAATGAACCGAACGCGAAACTCTAGGTGTCTCAAAGAAGTGAGGTTGCCCCAATTTTCAATGTGATCTGAAACCTGAGTTACGTAGCTCGACTCAATGTCGAGTCAGGTCTCATTACCTTGCGTTCCGATGCACGTGATCATGTCACACTGTCTGGTGGTGTCTCGAAAAGCACGTCGCGAAGAACAGACGTTGCGGTGTAACCCGAGGTCAGTTCCTGTGATGTTATGACCCGCAGAGCCATTTCTTGTTCTGCACGACTACTTGCACTGCATTGCATGGCATAATCGCAACACGACTCGAGCAGTTGAGAAGAACACTCTCGTTTTCTCGCTTCGCTTTCTCTCCACATGCACGCGCCACGTGGCGTACCGTTGACGTCCCAGACTGAGCCCAGCAGGTTCGGCGAATACAGGCTGGACGCCAAGAAGACCTCCAGCCAGCATGGCAGCGGCGGGAACCGAAGCGCCAAGAGCCAGCTACCGGCGACGCGAACCCAGGTTCATGGAGGTTCGGTTTGGCCCGAGTGAGCGTCAGCCTTGCGCCTGGGAAATGTCGACCGCTCTGCCCTGCCTAACCCAGGGAGCTTCGGCCTCTCTCCCACGCGGCTCAGTCGCGCGCACGAACGGGGTTCGAGTGGGGCGACAGCCGATGAGTAAAATTCGAGATTTCCGAGCCTCGAGACGAAAAGAGCCTCGGGACAGGCTGCGTACAGGGTGTGATAAGGCTTGGTCAGTGGCGGTGGGCGGCGATTCTCATATTGGTTGAATTGATCCTTCTGTCGGTTCGTTTACCCAACACATCGGCTACCTGGAAGATCAGCTGCCGTATCCAAGAGAGAGCAACAGCCCTCGTGAGGCAATTTTTGAGTCGACTGAAGAATCAGAGCAGCTACCGTATCGGATACACAGCAAGCCGTCGTGACGCCAGGAAGCAGTAGCAGGGTGGAAGGGCACGGGGGAGCGGCGTGAGTGCGCGCTGCGTGGGGGGGAGGTGCGTGAGTGCGCGTTGCGTGGGGGGGAGGCGCGTGAGTGCGCTCTGCGCGCCGCTGCAGGAGCAAGAAGGGGCAGCGGAGGAGCAGGAAGCGCTAAGTTCAGAGAGTGCGGGAAAGCTCCGATAGATGCAAGGCCAGAGGGGTGGGCGGCAGCAGCCTGCCGGAGGCAGAGGGGTGGGGATGGGTGGGCGTTGGTGGCGAGCGGTGGTGGGACGCCTGAGCCTCATGCAGCGAGGCAAGGCGCCCCTGCGGTGCAGCAGAGGTCCCTGGCAGGGTGGGCGGGCTGGGGGCGCGCAGGGGGTTGCGGGGGCGGGGGGGTTTAGGGGGGCGGAGCAGATGGGCGCTCCAGGGGGTGTCTGGGGAGGGGGAGTTGCTCCAGGCAGGGGAGGGGGGTGGGGGTCGCTGCTGGCTGTCTGTGTTGCAGGGGCGGCTGGGTGTGCGGTGATGGAGTTGGGGGTGGAAAAGGGAAAAGAAGCGCTGGCGTGATGGCGGATGCATGGAGGTATCTGCAGGGGGATTGGCTGCTGCTGCGGGTGGAGTGTGGCGACGTGGCTGGTCTTAGTTCTAGTATCAGGTCTAATGATAACGGATCACCTGTGAAAAACCCTGAATTTGGTAGCGCTGGTGAGGCAGGTGGGGCAGGTGGGGCAGGTGGTGGAAATGAGCGCAAGGGGAGCAGCAGCAGCAGCAGCAGCAGCGGTGCAAGCGGCAAGTCCACGTGGCGGCACTAATTGCAGGAAGCGTGTGGTGGTGCTGGGGTCTGGGTGGGGCGCCGTGAGCTTCCTTAAAGCCATCGACGCCCATGGGTATGACGTCACACTCATCTCGCCCCGCAACTTCTTCCTCTTCACCCCGCTGCTGCCAAGTGTCACCACGGGAGTGGTCGAGGGCAGGAGCATCGCTGAGCCAATCAGACGCATCCTGTTGAGGGTGAGTTTCCAATCAGTCAGGTGCTGCCAGAAATGTCATGCAATCAGTGTCATTATTGAGTGCAGTGTCATTATTGAGTGCAGTGTCATTATTGAGTGCAGTGTCATTATTGAGTGCAATGTCATTATTGACTTCTACCTCCCTTTTCTCCCGCTGCCCCTCACCCCACTCGCCTCCTCTTCCGCCCACCCTGAACCTTCCTCTCGCCCTTCTATCAGCATGCAGCACAGCTCGTTTCATTGCAGCAAAGTGCTTGAGGCGGGCCACCAGTGGAACTTCAAGGCGGTGTCCCCCTCATTCGATTTACCACTGCTCTCCACATCCACCGTGCGCCCACAGTGTGTGCCTCCCTCCTCCCCCGATCCCTTCCTCCCTGTGCTGGCAGCATAGCAGCTTGTCTTGGTTCCTCGAGGCAGAGTGCACAGTGTTTGTTGAGTAAACTCACAACACGCCTTCACACCTCCTTGGCCCTCCGACCCTCTCCCCCCTCTCTGCTGGCAGCACGGCAGCTCAGCTCGCTTCCCCGAAGCGGAGTGCACGGCCATCGACCCTCATTCGACCTGCAACTGGCTGTTCTCCCAATCCACCCCGCTCTCGTACCATCTTCGCCCTTCCTCCACTCCAACCCTTCCCCTTCTCTCTCCTGGCAGCACGGTACCTCAGCTCCCTTCCTCGTGGCTGAGTGCACTGCCATTGACCCCGCACTTGAACCACAACTGGCTGCTCTCCCTTCCTTCCCCACCCCTTCCCCCACTCTCCTTGCTGCCAGCACGGCAGCTCAGCTCGCTTCCTCGAGGCAGAGTGTACGGCCATCGACCCCGCCTCCAAGACCCTCTCCTGCCGCGCCCCTGCTGCCCTGCCCCCTCCGCTGCCCGTGCCGACTGTTGCAAAGGTTGGAAGCCAGGAGAAGGGTGACGGGGAGATGACACGAGGAGGAGCTGAAAGAAAAGGTGGTGGCTCTTCTGGTAGCGATAGTGGTGCTGCTGCTGCCGGGGGTGGTGCTGCTGCTTCCGGGGGTGGTGATTCTGCTGCTCCGAGTGGTGGTGGTGCTGTTGATGGAAACGTAGCTGCTGCTGGGGGTAACACGGGAGGAGGTGGCGGCGAGAGTGGCGGCGCGTGTGGCGGCGCCAGGGAGGTGCGGTTCACAGTGCCGTACGACATGCTGGTGGTGGCCATGGGGGCCGTCCCCAACACGTTCAACGTTCCAGGCGTGCAGCACCACTGCCACTTCCTCAAGGTGAGTACTGGCCATCGGGCACTGGCCATCGGGCACTGGGCATGGGGCACTGAGCACAGGGCACTGGGCAAACACCCAGGCACTAGGCCAGGGAGGGCAGGTGTGGTGGCGCCAGGAAGGTTCACTTCACAGTGCCGTACGACATGCTGGTGGTGGCCGTGGGTGCCAGGCCCAACACTTTCAACGTGCCTGGCGTGCAGCACCATTGCCACTTCCTCAAGGTGAGTACTGGGGGGCTGGGCATGGGGCACAGGGCAAGCATTGTGCCGTACGACATGCTGGTGGTTGTAATAGGGCCGTTGCGAGGCGGCCCGCCCCCGTTTACCCCTCCTCATTCCCCTTCCCCACATCCCGATTCATGGATCCCTCCCTCCTATCCCACTGCACACCCATCCGTCACTGCACCACCTCTCCCTCCGCCAGTCGCTGGACGATTCGGAGGCCATCAGGAACACGCTCATTGACCGCTGCGAGGAGGCCCCCCTTTAACCCCTATCCCCGCCCCCCATCCCACTGCCCCTATCCCTCTCCCCATCCCACCATCAGTCGCTGGACGATGCAGAGGCCATCAGAAACACCCTCATCGACCGCTGCGAGATGGCGTGCCTGCCAGGAATAGAAGCAGACGAGCAACAGAGGTACCCTCTTAGGAGATCCAGAGGAAGCAAGCTAGCTCCACCGCGCCCCCATACTGTGTTGTGACGCTCTCCTCCCTGTAGCTCCAGCCCCCCTCTCTCGCGCTCCATCCATCACTTCTTTGCCTCTCCTAGCCTTCCGCCACTACCTTATGCACGCTTCTATGCCCCTCTGCACCCTTTTGCAAATAGATCTTGCAAACTATCACTCAAATCCTCTGTACTTCGCTATGCCCCACCGCCCAAGCCCCAGCCCACACCCCTCACCCCAAAACCCTCCCGCCCCACCCTTCGCCCCCAGTGGGGGCCCCCCACCCCTAGCCTCTTGCCCCTCGCCCCCACCACTCGCCCCTTGCCCCTCGCCCCGTCCACCACTTTCTCGCCCATCCCTCCCTCCATCTTGCCAAGACCCTATCTTCTTGCACACTCTCGCTGCACCCCTCCGCAGCACTCCTCTGCACCCATCAGCACCCCAATGCACCCCAATGCACCCCAATGCACCCAATGCACCCCATTAAGGAGAGATCATTGGCAGGCTCTACGCTTTCGGCCGCTGCATCTTGCCATGTCTCTCGCTCACTGCCTGCCCACCGGATTTTTCTGCACCCCTGGCCCCTCACCCCTCGCCCCTCACCCCTCACTCCTCAACCCTGCCCCCAGGCTGAGGTGAGGTGTAAGATGGCGCAGCGTATTTTGAGGCGCCTCAAAATACGCCCCCAGGCTGAGGTGAGGTGTAAGATGGCGCAGCGTCACTTCTTCTTGTCTTACCTTCCCATCCCATCACCCCCTCCCCTCTCCCCCAAGGCTACTGCACGTGGTGGTGGTGGGGGGCGGCCCCACAGGAGTGGAGGTGAGTTGAGAGGGTGCCTCATTTCTTGTCTTACCTTCCCATCACCCTCCTTGTGCTACCATCCAAACCCCCAGGCTGCTGCACGTGGTGGTGGTGGGGGGCGGCCCTACGGGCGTAGAGGTGGCAGCAGCAGTGCACGACATGGTAGAGGGCGACCTATACCGCCTCTATCCTGGCCTAAAAGGGAAGGCTTCTGTGTCTCTGCTGCAGTCGGGAGACCACATCCTCAACATGTGAGATGAGATTCGGTGCTCTCTGGGGGGCCTTCTGAGGCATGTACTCCATCACCCTTCCACCCCCCAAGGATTTTGAGTCCTGCATTGATGTGGCAGACACACCTGCACATGGGCCAGCCCTGCAGTCCCCATCTGCCATCTCCACAGCCTTCCCCCTCTCAGCTAAAACCTCACTCCCTCGCAACATCCCCCTGTCCCCCCCTGCCTCCCCTCTGCCCTCTCCCTGCCTGCCCCCCCCTTGCCTCTCCGTGCCGCCCGCTACCAGGTTTGATCTGCGCATATCCGAGTTTGCCGCCCACAAGTTCCAGCGGGACGGCATCACTGTTCACACGCACGCGCGCGTCACGGCTGTCACTCCGCGCGCTCTCCATGTGCGGGAGACGAGCAGCAGCAGGGAGAGCGGCAGCAGCGATGGCATGGGAGTGGAGGGCACTCTAGTAGCAGCAGTGAGAAGAGCAGCCGTGTGAGCAGCAGCAGTGAGAACAGCAGTAGCAATGCAGAGAGCAGCAGGGAGAGGGAGGTGCCGTATGGAGTGGTGGTGTGGGTGACAGGCATTACGGCCCATCTCCTAGTTGTGCAGCTAAGGGAGGAACTGGGGCAGGTAAGGTTTGGGGCACGTACAAGCTGTTGGTGCAACCCTACGGTTTGCATTCGGCTTGTTGTCCGTGTGCGTGCATGTGTGTGTGCATGGAATGCTATGAGGGCATGAAATAATATATATTTCATGCTTACAATACTGTGTGAATGATGAGGCATGATTTTGAGTGTGTGTGTCGAGTCAATAGCGAGTTATCGCTAGTCGCGTGTGACGTCGTTGTTTGCTTGTCGTGTGCGTTATCAATACTTAATGAAATCGTGAAATCTAAATTGCTTAGTGTAGGCGACATTACAACGCTCTAGATCCAATTTGAATCAGGTCATTTGGAGCTGTGACGAGAGTGCTATCAACGTTTGAAGCCGCTGTGCAGAAATCCGACAGTGCACTCTATCTTTCGTTTTAGGCACATTCAAGCCTATTGTGACTATATCAAGTGGTATAAGAGCCCCTTGGAACAGTTCGACAATTGCTGGACCTGAGGAAAGGGGTGGCAGAGGTGCTAGTGGCAGTGGAGAAGCCCAAGCTCAAGGCCAACCCTGTGATTCAGCCATGACGCCCGTGCAACCAAGTCTTGGTCCACTTAGGGATGAGCCTAGGGTGTTTGGGCTTGACAAGTTCAATGGCGACAACTTCGCTGAATGGTCCTTCAGAATGGAGAATGTATTTGACCACTATGACCTGCTGGAGGTGATGGAAGGAATGGAGAAGCGCCCCGAGAACGACCCGGAGAAGAGCCCGTGGGTGCGGAAGAGCGCACAAGGCTATCTCCTACTTGGGCAAGCGTTGGGGAACAGCCAGATCCGTCACATCAAGCCATTCCAGCGTGAACCAGAGAAGGGACCAAAGGCATGGGCTGCTCTCAAGGGTGTACACGCTCTTGCAACAGCGGCGGTAGCTGTGGTGTTGGAACGGCAAATGTCGGCACTACGAATTGAAGAAGACGAAGCGGTTGAAGAAGGGGTGCAAAAAATCTTCGACTTGTTGACGCGACTTGAGAGAGCTGATTTGAACTACAGTGAGCTCCAAAAGAAGACCAAGTTGCTGGCCTTACTCCCAGAGTCATGGTCCTCGCTCATCATCAACCTCAATCGTGACTTGCCCCGCCTCTCGCTTGAAGACGTGAAGCGAGCGATCCTTCAAGAGGATTTCCGCCGCCGTGAGTTGGCGAGTGCGGATTGTGCCAAGGCAGCAAACATCGGCCGAGGGTATGGCCGTGAAAGGGGCAGAGGACGAGGGGGAGGCAGATTTGGCAGCAACAACTTCAATGGAGGCCGCGGGAGTGGCGGATACGGCAATGACAACAAGAGCTACAGACGCGATCGCGGCCGATTCGACGGCGAGTGCCACTATTGTCACAAGAGCGGACATATGTGGCGCGATTGCTACAAGCTCCCTGATGGATGGACCCCTGCTCAAGGCCAAGAGGGTAGAGGAGCACGAGGAGGGAGAGGAAGAGGCCGTGGAGGCCGTGGCGGTCGCGGAGGTGGTGCTGCAAGTATGAAGAGTGCTGACAACGAGAGCGAGTCAAGGGACGATCGCATTCCGGGTCAATTCTTCTTCGTGTCCACGCATGCACCGGCTGGTCCAGAGAAGGATGAGAGCTTTGAGGAGCCAGCAGCTATGGGGAAGGTAACCCTACACTCCCTGGACTATTGGGTGATCGATAGCGGCGCTACCTACAGCATGACACCTCGTGCGGACTTGCTCACCGAACTCGAGCCGTCACCGGTGAAGCATGTGACATCGGCTTTGGGGCAGCGAGCAGAGGTGAAAGGCATGGGCAAGGCCATGTTCAAGGGTGCTGATGGGAAGATGGTGGGCCTCAAGAACGTGCTTTGGGTGCCCAACCTTGCAGCCAACGTGATTTCCGTGCGGCGGTTGCAAAAGGCCGACATATGCACGAGCTCGAAGGGAGCTAAGACCTATACCGCGAGGCTTGGCGAGCGGATTCTTTGGGACCTTCACGAGGATAGGGATGTCTACAACGAGATGTGGCAGATCCATGTGGTCCCCATGACTAAGGAGAGGCAAGTGGTAGCAAGCATCACCACCAAGGGTGAAGCGGTTGGTAGCGGCGATGGCGCGAACGGTCGTGCTAAGGAGATTGAGTCCAAGAAGTGCAATTTTGGAGGGACCAGCAAGCTCGGTGAACAAGAGGAGAGTGGTGCAGCAGCTCAGAAGCAGCACAAGGGTGAGGAGAACCGAAAGGCAGCAGCGGAGGAGGAGTACGGAGAGAACATGTGGGGCACTATTGCGAGTGCGGCATTCTCCAATCCGACTTCGGCTACGGGGGAGTGTCATTGGTTGACCTTGCATCGGCGCATGGGGCATGTGGCCCTGCCCATCTTGCAGTAGCTAGTGAAGAATGAGATGGTTGCTGGCATACGTGTGAAGGCGGAGCCCGATGAGGTACTTGGCTGCCCGACGTGCATGCAAGCCAAGTTCACGCGTTACCCGTTCTCTAGTTCGGAGGCAACGGCTAAGGCACCACTTGATGAGGTGGTGATGGACGTGGTGGGCCCCCTAAAGCTTGGAGCTGCTGGAGCTGAGTACTTTCTCACCATTGTGGACGTCGACACCCGCATGACGTGGCTGAAACGGTGAAGACCGATTGGTTGCCGATGGTGGAGCGGCAACAAGACCGGCTAGTCAAGTCAATCCGCACCGATCGAGGGGGAGAGTTCTTGAGCAAGGAGTTTGGATTGTGGCTGAAAAAGAATGGCATAAGGCACTCCCTCACCATGCCATACTCCCCTGCAATGAACGGCATCGCCGAGCGAGCGAACCGCACGATCACGGAGACGGCACGCGGGTTGCTCATTGAAGCCGGGCTACCCGACTATTTCTGGCCTGATGCGGTGCGGAGTGCGTGTGTGGCCAAGAACAGAGATTTGACTCATGTGGGAGCAGACAAATGGGTGCCCTATGTGGAGTGGATTGGAAGGAAGCCAAAGGTGGATATGCTTCGGGTGTTCGGGTGCATGTGCATGGCGCTCGTGCCTAAGCATCTTCGGCACAACAAGCTCGGTGCCAAGGCGATATGGGCTGTGCAATTGGGCATGGCTCAAAACAGCAAGGGGTGGCTTCTTAGGGACCCATTCACCAAGAAATTCTTGGTGAGCAGGGACTGCAAATTCATGGAGAACCTGATGTATAAGGATTGGAAGGCGGAGAATGAGGCAAAGATAGGCATGCGGTTTGGGGAGGTGAAGAGTTTCGGTTTGGAGTATGTGGAGCTTGCTTTGGAGCTGAGCAGCAGCAGCACCACCACAAGGCAATCTTCCTTTATGAATGGGGGAGAGGAGGCCAAGGATGCACAGGAAGAAGGGGAGGAGGTGCAGCAAGTGAACGACCGTGCACCGACACTTCCTTCTCGCACTACGAGTGCTCCACGGATCCGAGTCACCCCGCAGCAACGCCACGAGAGCCTTCATGTCCCTGTAGCTGAGGAGGAAGGAAGGGGCAAAAGGAGAATCCAAGCCCCAAATAGGCTGACCTATGAGGCACTGGCAAAGCCAGCCAAGTCAGCCTTGGCCGGAGCGGCACTTATAGTTGGAGATGACGAGGAGAGTGACTACGACGAGTGTGCCTTCGCGTTGTTCTCTCCGGTGGAGATGCCGGGGGAGCCAGCAACTCTCGAGGAGGCCTTGGAGAGTAGTGATGCTGAGGAGTGGAAGAAGGCAATGGAGAGCGAGTTGAAGAGGAGATCGGCTTCACTCCCTCAACGGCCGATCACTCACGGTTCATGCTTGGTGAGGGGGAGCAGAGGAGCTTCATGGTTGTTTACGTGGATGTTATCCTCATCTTCTCACCCTCCTCTGACCTTGTGAAGGAGATGATGCTGAAGCTTCAGGACAAGTTCAAGTGTAAGGCCCTTGGTGACGTCAACTTCTACCTCGAGCTCCACATTGAACGCGATGTGGAGAAGCGGTGCATGCGGGTGCATCAACGGAAGTACATGGAGGCATTGGCTGCCAACTTTGGGCAGAGTGAAAGCCATGTGGCTACACCGTTTCCCTCTGGGTTCAAGTGTGTGAAGGGACCAGAGGAGGAGAGCGTTGGTGAAGAGGAAAGGCGCCGTTTTCACTCGTTGGTGGGCAGCCTCATGTACGCGGCGGTAAACACCCGACCGGATGTCGCGTTTGCTACCGGACAGTTGGCTAGGGTTGTTCAATGCCCTAACGAGAAGCAGGAAGCAGATGGAATGAGGGTGGCCAAGTATCTTGGCCAAACACCGACCGTTGGGCTGCAATACTCGGCGGCAGCGCAAAGGCGCCAAAAGGGTGCGGATGGTGTTGAACCCGGTCGTTTGTTCCTCACCGCATTCTCGGATGCTTCTTATGCATCGGAACCAGAGGACATGACAAGTGTTGGAGGGTTCATTTGTTGTGTTGGTGGAGACCCAACTGCTTGGGAGAGCAAGAAGCAGGTGGATCAAGCATTGAGCTCAGTGGAGTCCGAGTACATGGCACTCTTCCGTGCCGTACAGGAGATTGTGTGGCAGCGGCGTTTGTTGGCTGAATTGGGGGAGGAGCAGCAAGGACCTACCCCACTCTACTGTGACAGCCAGGGTGCTATTGATTTTGCTAAGAACCATGTGTTGCATGGCCTCACCAAGCACATGAGGGTGAAGTGGCATTGGACGAGGAGCATGGTGGCCGCGGGTGAAGTTGAGTTGCGCTACGTAAAGACGACGGGGCAGCCGGCTAACATGATGACCAAGAGGCTGGTGGAGCAGCAGCATTGGAAGTGTTGAAAGCTGGCTGGGATGGCTCTGAACTGAGAGAGCAAGTTCCTAAGGCCAACAATCCGAGGGGGAGTTTGTTGGTGCAACGCTACGGTTTGCATTCGGCTTGTTGTCCGTGTGCG